TGAAGGATTAGAGTAAAATAGCTGCTGAAATTATCACCAATGGCAAGATTATGTAGCGTAGTGCTTCTCATATAAAATCTCAGATCTTGAGGCCTTTTACACATAAAATACTACTTCACTCATATGTTATCAAGTCGTATCTCAATCATGCAGTTATGGTAACATCGTTTTTTTGACTTTTGTCCGTTTTCTAGGTTAAATTTTCTATCTAAAACGCCTAATTGCACATCAAACACAAAGCATTCGAAAGTTTTTAGTACCATTTTATATAAACGTACGTACGTAACATAGCCTTGCCATAACATTGGTCTATTTTACGGTAAAATCGGCCCATAAATGTATAAATGAGCTATTCTTTTAGTAAAAAAATTGATAAAAATTTGATAAATTCAAGCTTCGGTGCCATTTCTAGAAACAAGTTTTCTTGCAATTTTATATACTTTATTTTTGTTACACGTCTCTGCAATGTTTTATTATTTTACTTCAAACTTTTTTTCTGTTATTGGCTAGGTAGTGTATGAATAAGACACCAAAGTTTATATCGACTGATGAGCACACTTTATGTCAAAATGTTTAAAAAACTAGGCATTGTAAATATTTGCTTTTTATATTGGCAACCCCTGTAATATATACCCCACTGGGTACGGATATTGCAGAAACCAATACCATGCTATGTGTCGTGAAACATATGATTTGTGGCACTTGAGAGACCTGACCTGCATTTGAGGTATAATGACATATATCAACGTATATTTTAATAAAGATAAAGTAAATCGAATGATATAAAACATGATAAAAATATAAGACAAGATCATAAATAACGATTTTGTAAGCAACGCGAATTTGTGAAGAAAAAATATTTAAATATTCAAATAAGAGAAAATACAGGAAACTGAAAGCCGAGGATCAGGAAGTATGGAACAAGAAGTTTGGAAAGGAAAATATATAAAAAGATGTGTAAAAAAGTGTGTGTGGGGGGGGGAATAGTGGTAAAAGGAATGATAGACGACGAAAGGTGAGGTAATCATATAATTATGGTGGCTCTCACACCATGGACCTGCCTTCCGGTACACTACCATTTATTATTATTTCATATTCAAATATACGTATGTGTTTGTATATCCTTCAAACTTGTAAACGATATATTATTGAACGATTTAATGTGATATTACATTAACTTGATAAAATTAAATGAAAATGAAAATGAATAAGAATATGAAATGAATAACAAAATAATATTATAACTTTCTATGTCAAATTTTATTTTTCTATATTTTAGCTTGTAAGAACAATATACTAATGAATTGATAACAAAATAAAACTATCAAATAAAAAAGCACAATTAATCTTCATTTATATTCATTCATATAATTATTAAATAATAGGAAAATCTGTTTTGAAAAAAAGTAAGGAAAAACTATTATACATAGAAATATAATAGTAATTTTTATATAAAACTTTATACTTTTGAATATAATTTTATATAATATATAATTTAATTGTGAAAATATCTTATATATTAGAAAAAATCTGGAAAATTTAAAATACAAATTTTTAGATTCCGGCGGATTTTTTTTTGTTTTTATTTTTTTGTTATTATTTTTGTAGAAATTCAGATCATGATGTTTATATATAAGTACTATCATTTGTTTTATAAATAGGTACTATAATTTGTATTTATATAGTATAGCAAAAGTATTTCCACAATTTTATAATGTACTTTAAATTATATAGAGAAATAACTTATTTTTTATTTTTGAATCTCTTATCAAAAAATAATGTTCGACATAGTGATTTGTTCAATTATATGCTTGATCGAGTTGATTTTATATTATTGGTAATTTCAAAAATATTGATACATATGTTTGTCATAACGCCGAACTACTTCGAAATTTTTTATAATATCTAGTTGCTCTATATCAGAACATCTTCAAATTATTCAGGTGTTTTAGATTTTAACAAGTAAAAATGCTCATTTTTTGAAACTAAATTAATTAATAAGCATTGCACCCATCTGTTTAAATACTTGTATAGCTCATCAGCTGTATAAGTTAATTCGTAAATTACGAATTATTCTGAATAATTTATTCCAGTAGGTATATTTATACACAAAAAGGTGAGTTTTCAAAACTGGAATAACTAATAAAAATTTTATGCATGTATCCAAATATTTGTATAACTCAGTTTTACAAATTAATTTGTTGATCACTCTACAAATTATTCAGGTAAGTTAGTCATCAACTAAACAAAGTACTAGAGTTTTGAAACAAGTTAAATTAACAAGAATCCATATGTCCAAATACTTGTATAGCTCAGTTGAATTAATTGATTCGTAGATCATCTATTCAGGTAATTAGATAAGTAAAAGTGCTAACTTTTTGAATCTAGATTAATCCATAAAAATCATCCACGTGTCCAGATACTTTTATAGCTCAGTTTTATCAATTAATTCCTAGATCACCTCACAGATACGCAGTTTACAAAACGTCAGTCCATCAAAAGCTAATCCTTTCTCAGTGTTTCTTTAGACGAGAATAATCGAAATGCTTTTCAGATCGGAAATGAAACATGGACATCAATTTTCGCCGATAGATCGATCTGTGACTATTTTTAGAATCTATTTCATTCGGGCAGTATCACATCGCATCTCATAAATCAAATGCTGATATATAGTAAAAGTTTCTGATCTGGTGGCTACCGGTCTGTGAAGTTTTTGTGTTAGTTGCGTATTAGACGACACATCTGGTTATCGTGTAAGGAATTGAACAGATAACCTTCATGGGTAAAGGCCAGGATAGGCAAAAACAATGAATAAGACTAACTTTCCACGGAAATACACACACACACACACACACACAAACACACACACATATATATATATATATATATATATATATATGGTCCTTAGCAAAGACATTTTCGAATTTCTTTGCTCTCAAGGGTGCTAATGTTTTCAAATTCTTTAATATTATCTCTAATAGTATTAGCTCTTAATATAAATATTTAGATAAAGCGCACGTCAATTGAAAGTTTCTTATATTTGTTATAAACATACGTCATTAAGTAAATTCTTGCGCCATCTGTATAGTATTTGTGAACTCAAATATAATGACACATAAGAATATTTATATAAGAATACTGTAGAGATGGCGCAAGAATTTACTTAATGACGTATGTTAATAACAAATATTTCAATTGGCGTGCGCTCTATCTAAATGTTTATATTAAGAGCTAAAACTTTCAGTGATTTTTTTTTATTAATTTGGAAGCATTTGAGCTCCTGGGAGCAAAGAAAATCGAAAACATCATTGGAAAAATTTCGTATGCTGAATAAATATGATTATAGCGATAAATTTAATGTATCATAAATCACTTATTCCAAATATAACTACTAATATTATTACATTTAAACTCTATAAATAAAAATGAAAGCACATATTGAAACTTGAAATATATATGAGGTAATATAGAGTAGACCATTTAAAGTGGATTTGTTTCTGAAAAAAAAAAACTTTACTTTCGTTTAAAAAAATATATCGCATCTATTTTGAATAAATAAATAAATACGTTTTCCTTATATATAATTCTTAAAAATAAATGCTTCGAATTTAGATAGCAACTCTATATTACTACATATATAAATTCAAGTTTCAGTCTACTTTTTATTTTTATTCAATTGAATTTTATAATATTAGAATTACATCCATATGTCCAAATACTTGTATAGCTCAGTTGAATAAATTGATTCGTAGATCACCTATTCAGGTAAGTTAGATTAGAAATAAGTTAGGCAAGTAAAAGTGCTAAATTTTTGAATCCAGATTAATCCATAAAATTCAATATAGATCCATTAGATTCAATATAAATGTTGCAAGATAAATTATATTCATCACTGTAATCATGTTTTATTAATCTTAAAAAAAATCCAACGACAAATTTGTCAAATAAAGGGTATGGGCGTGTTTCCATACAGAATCTGCCCCAACTTGGTTTTTAAACGATTTTGATGCCATTTTATAAGTCTTTTCAAAAAAAAAAATATCAATTTTCATCATTTTATCATTTGGCCGAGGTATCAGTGAAAATATGTAAAAGTGGCCCCTTAATAATAGCAAATTGTTATTTCGTCGCTGAAATATCAAATATGGTTTAAAGAAAAGTTTGTCTTTTAAAAATAATATTCTATTCCATTGTATATTCCTTTATTTCCGATAATTTCTGGGCCTTATGACTTCCAATGAACAGAAAAAATTGTGGCACAATTTCATATAAAAAATTATTTTTTCATACAACTTGAATTTATTTTGCCTGTTACTACTACTGTATAGCATATTAGTTACATCTTCATAGCATATAAGCAAGTACGTAAGTATTTATAAAATTAGAAGAGATTACAATGTGGAAAAGTCTTTTAAAATGCACGTGAAGTAATTTATTTCGCAAAAATGAGTTATCAGTATATCTAAATAGAACTTACAGGATTGATTTTCAGAAATTTTTACTATACTAAAAGATTAATAAATCTAACATATTAATGGAGGCAAAGAAGGCATATTAATGGAAAATTCGGAATAATGATCCAACATATAAAATTACTGCAATATTTCAACCGACGTTTAAAATTAGCGATAACAAACTATCGACTGAAACATTTCATTTAACTAAGTTGACTCCATAATAATTGTAGGCATATAAATTGAATAATCAATATACAGGTTCGTTAAAAATACGTCTGTATCTTGCCATAATTATGAGTTTAACATGTACGACAGCAAACGACCAATTTGCATCTCATAAGAACATCAACATTTCATAAGAGTTAAGTACGATGTTAGTTTATAATTGTTATGTAGATATGTAGATAAGAACATCAACATTTCATAAGAGTTAAGTACGATGTTAGTTTATAATTGTTATGTAGATCCTTAATAAAACACGTCTGTCCAACTTTTACTACGAATTTTTGTAGACCCTTACATTTATCAAATACTACAAATATGTCACCAGGATACAACTTTTACTACGAATTTTTGTAGACCCTTATATTTATCAAATACTACAAATAAGTCATCATGATACAAATTGGTAAAAGGACAAAGAATAAACTCACTTTGATCCTCCACCGTCGGCTCTATCTCCGAGGTGCTTCGCTGTCGGCGAAGTAAGCGCGCCTTGCTCTGACAACGAGGAAGCCGGCTGGCGCAATCCACGTGAGCGTTCGCCTTACAAGTTTTACATCGAAGACCTTGTCTCGTATGACCTGAAATTATAAGACTAGCTGTAAGTGGAATTCTGTCTTAAGGCAATTAAGGCATCGTGCCTTAAGGCAAATTGCTGGAACTTCCCGTACCAAAAATTATTATTTTTTTAAAAACGATTGACATTTAAAAAAAAAAATTACTTCGAAAAAATACGATTTTTAAGAAACTATAAATTGGACAAAAATTACTTTTTTTTGAAAAAAATTTTTTTTTAAAAAAATTTTTTTTTTAATTTTTTTTTTTGTTTTTTTTTTTTGAAAAAATTTTTTTTTTTATTTTGACATATTGTGGAAGATCTGAACTTTCTTTTCAAAGCAATCGTTCTGCTTTAACTGCATAGGGGCAAAATATAAAGCGCGTAAGCGCCGCGTCGCTGTCTAACGCATAAGCATTGGTACGGAACCCATAGGAATGTTAACAAAATGTATACTTATTGTTAAAATCTCTATAAAATATCTGATAATTTGATGAGCATATGTCTAATGATCATTTTTGACCGCCAAATGGCTTATTTTTTTACTTTTTCCTCCATATCTCCGAAACCGCTAGAGCTACCTTCATGAAAATTTTATCGATTCTTAACCTTGTCAATACAAGTAAAATGTTTTTTGAATTATTCAAATCGGACGCTCCGTTCTCTCAAAAACTGAGTTACCGTTTTCGGCACTTTTTGCCCCGTATCTTCGGAACGGCTAGACCTGCCTTTGCCAAAAACTAATCAGCACGTCTCCTTATCAATACGAATCGAATGTTTTTTGAATTATTCAAATCGGTTGACCCGTGTTCCCGAAATCGTCGACGAAAATTTGTATCCGCACATACATACACACACATACATACATACACACACACACACACACACACATACACACACACACATACATCCATTTTTTCTAAGGTATGCCAAAATGTTCAGAAACCTCTGAAACGTAAAGATATATAAAAATTTTCATTTTCGATTTTTTTGCGATTACTATAACTTACCCTACGGGAAGTTAAAAATTGAGTTATAGTCGAACTATAAGGTATAACTAGTGGGGCGCATGGCATCGTGCCTTAAAGCAAATAGCTGGAACTTCCCGTACCACAATTTTTTTTTTTTTAAAAAGATTTACATTTTTGAAAAAAAAATTACTGTAAAAAAATTCGATTTTTGAGAAACTATAAATTTTTGACAAAAATTTACTTTTTTTTTAAAAAAAAAAGAATTTTTGAGGAAAAATTTATTTTGAAATATTTTGGAAATTCAGAACATTTTTTCAAAGCAATCGTACTGCTTTAACTGCATAGAGACAAAATATCGAAGCGCGTAAGCGCCGCGTCGCCGTCTAACGGATAAGCATTGGTACGGAACCCATAGAAATGTAAAAAAAAATTATACCTATTGTTAAAATCTTTATAAAATATCTGATAATTTGATGTGCATATGTCTAATGATCATTTTTGACCACCAAATGGCATTTTTTTTACTTTTTTCATTAGATCTCCGAAACCGCTAAACCTGCCTTCATGAAAATTTGATCAATTCTTCATCTTGTCAATACAAGATTTGATTTGTCTTGATCAGGAAACGTGCTTTTTAGTTTTTGGCATATGCAGGTCAAGCCGTTTCGAAGATACGGGGCAAAAAGAACCAAAAATTGTAATTCAGTTTTTGAGAGAACGGAGCGTCCTATTTCAATAATTAAAAAAAACATTTTATTTGTTTTGATTAAACGAAGAACTGTTAAAATTCTTAGAAAGGCAGGTCCAACGGTTATGCACTCTCAATTTTTTTTTTTTTTAAATGTAATTTGGCGATAAAAATGTTCACTAGACATATGCACATCAAATTATCAGATATTTTATAGAGATTTTAATAATGTGCACACATTTTGTGTAAATTTTTTTGGGTTCCGTACCAAGATTTCTAATTTTGAAGTTAATGTATATGGTTCAAACAAATATCCTCGACATTTTCGACAGTATGGACTAACCGATTTGTATTATTGAACAAACATTCGGTACTCGATCGCGAGGTGTTTTTGCAAAAAGGGTGTAAAAATAGTCATGCAGTTTTTGAGAGAACGGATCATCCAATTAGATTAAAAAATTGAACTAGTGGGGTGTATGGCATCGTGCCTTATGGCAAATTGCTGGAACTTCCTGTACCGTAACAAAATGTTCGAGTAATACTGAATGTTTTCAAATAGATTAATATAAATATTGTAACATTGTCTAATATTTATGAGAATTATATAAACTGAATTGCAAAGTTAAAATTATCTGTTTTAAATATATTAGAACTTTAGTCAGAAGTAAAAATAAAATCTGAATTATTTTCGACAAAAAAAATTGTGAAAAAAAATTGAGATAAATTTTGAAACATAATTTTTGTTCCAGAATCAATGATTTTGTTAAAACAAGTAAAAAGTTCTTTGAATCATTTAACTGGGACGCTCAGTTCCCTCAAAAACTGCCATTTTTTTGCACATTTAGTTCTGTATCTTCGAAATGGCTGGGTCTGCCTTTGCCAAGAACTAATAACCACTTCTAATTGAATGTTTTTAGATCATTCAAATCGGATGCTCAGTTCTCTCAAAAACTCGATTTCTATTTTCTGCACTCTTTGCCCTTTATCTCCGTAACTGCTCGACCTGACTCTGCCAAAAACTAATCAGTACATCTCCCTATCAATAGGAATAGAATGTTTTTTGAATCATTCAAATAGGTTGATCCGTGCGCCCGAAAACGTGGTTTCGGAAAAAGAAAAATTGTTTCCATACATACATACACACACACACACACATCCATTTTTTCTGAGGTATGCCAAAATGTTCAGAAACCTTCAAAACGTCGAGAAATGTAAAAAATTTAAATTTCGATTTTTAGACGATTACAATAACTTACCCTACGAAAAGTTAATAAATTAAATTGTCATAAAAATTACAATTACATTATCACAGATGGCGCAAGAATGTGTTTAATGACATATTTTAATAATAAATATTTAAGACTTTTAATTGAATTGTGAACTATCTAAGTGTTAATATCAGAAGCTAAAACTGTTATAGGATTTTTTTATTAATTTGGAAGCATTTGAGCCCTTGGGAGCAAAGAAGTTCAAAAATGTCTATATTAAGAACCACCCTAATATATACATATATATATATATATATATATATATATATATATATATATATATATATATACAATCGTATAAAGTATGTGAAAGTCACGGTTAAAACAAAGAAAATCCCTTATTCCCAAAAGTGTCGGATGACAGTGAAAGTTCATATTGCTCATATGACACTAAAAGCACAAGGCCTGAAGTCATCAAGTGGAAGCTCACAATTCCAAAGTTGTTGTTTTGTTTCAGAAGTTGCTTTTAACTCAACCATATAAAGGAACAAAACACGTGCATCGCCTACATGGATAATTTATTTAATGCAAAAATAAATTACAGAGCCAGAGAAATAAATCTCGATGGAATTGCTAGTGTAAAGTTTGACATGTGCCTTAGTCGATGTCGATGTCGATGTTACAGAGAATGACAAAATTAATTAATTGATAGATTATACTGCCAACTTTAGCACATGTGCCATTATTTCTGCTACGCTTGCGTTTTACCTTCCGGCTTCGTAATTGATATACGGCTAATTAATAATTACAAGACGGCGTAAAAACTCTTGTTACACCAACTGTCAACTAGTTAATTAATTGAGTTTGATATAACAATACTGCCAATTAAAACTTCTTCCAGGTGGGTGTAATAATTAAAGAACTAGTATGTATTAAAATCTACCCCATCTACCCACACTTTATATCTATAACCAACTACTACATTCATTCATTAATTTCGAATAAAGCTTTAAGTAAAATATTATAAATGTCTTGAAAGTACTCAAAATAAATTTATATGTTAACGTTAGTATGTCAACTTGCTTATTTTGTGTTTTCCCGAAGTTTCCAGTCATTCTGAATCATTTGAGATCGCAATTAGTAAAAGTATGTATGTGTATGAGCGTCGGTGTATGTTAGCAAAAATTTGGCTTTTCATCGAAGTTTTCTCAAAAACGGTGTTTTTAGAAGTGTTTTTTTAAGGCAAAATGCCACTTACAACCACTTAAACGACAATTGTTAATATAATCAATAGACAATAAGAAAATATAAATCTTTGCAACAGAATATATATAACTTTGGTTGAATTGGGAACTATCTCAAAGTTAATATTACAAGCTAGAACATACAGAGAATTATTTTCTATTAATTTGGAAGCATTTGAGCCCTTGGCAGCAAAAAAATTAGAAAACATCCATATTAAGGACCACCCTAATGTATACCATACATTACATTTCCATTTTATCATACAAATTTTACAGTGACCTACAGAGCCAACTTTGTCTCTAGGATTTGAAGAACTAGAAAAACTCGTGGGGTACATCGTGCCTTAAGGCAAATTGCTCAAACTTACCGTACACAAAATATGCACACATTATGAAAATCTCTATAAAATATCTGATAATTTGATGTGCATAAGTCCAACAAACACTTTTGACTGCAAAATGACATTTTCTTAACTTATTTCTATTGAGAGTCCATAACCGCTAGACCTGCCTTCCCAAAAATTTAATCAGATTTTATCTCGACAATACAAGTAAAATGTTTTTTGAAATATTAAAATCTCTTAAAAACTGAGTTACCGTTTTTGGCACTTTTTGCGCCATATCTTCGGTGCGGATAGACCTGCCTTCGCCAAAAACGAATCGAATGTTCAAATCGGTTGACCGTGTTCCCGAAATCGTCGATGAAAACTTGTATCCGCACACACACATACATCCATTTTTTCTAAGGTATGCCAAAATGTTCAGAAACCTTTGAAATGTAAAGATAAATACAAATTTTCATTATCGATTTTTTTTGCGATTACTATAACTTGCCCTACGGGAAGTTAATTATATCATAATTAGAGTTTGAATATTTTTAATACATACTTGTTACAAGTCAATAATTATCTATA